TTCTGCTAGCACTATGAATATTTGCCTTTCACTGCAACTCTGATATCAGTTCTCATTGTCAGAGCTGGAACAAAACCACTCTCTGAAGGGATATGCATGTCAGCAGTACTCCCTGGGCGTGTTGTCACAACTACCAACCTCAGAATTCAACTGACAATGAATAGCTCTGTAATGGAACTGGTAGCATATATTACATAAAATAAAAAAGTCATGAGAAAAGGGCACTTGTGAAGATTCCTCACTTTTAACGGCCACATAATCAAATGCCAAAACCAGATTAGTTCATATAACATAGGAGGGTTTATTACTGAATGAGTAGAAATATTGTATATAACCTGTATTCATATTAAACTGCTTTTCTGAATTCAAGTTGTAAATTCCAACAGGTATCACTCTAATAGCTAAAACTGACCCAACTTGTTCTGTGACTAAATACAGCAGGCTGGATACTTTTCCTATTAAAACGAGCACAAGGAAACAGAAAAAAAACAGTGGAAAGCCACATAGCAAGCCTGCCAAATAGATGTAAAATCAAGGGAATGAAGTTAAACCAACTATCGACAGATGCACTCTAATCCATATGCTGGCACATGCCTTCTCGCTGCACTCACTATACCCTGAGGCAAGGCAATGTCAGCTTTCTGTATACAAAATAACTTTCTACCCTAAATGAGTAGTTGATGCCTGCTGGTGAAACAAGTGAGGGTGCTGAGGGCAGGCAGTGTGTGCTGTATATTGCAGAAAGGCATGTAAAAGGAATGCTCACTGTGTGGCAGCCCTACAGGGTAAGTGAAAGAAAGGGTAAATGTACCTTGGAGTCTATGTCCCCACGCAGCTCCTTAGACCTTGGAATATCTTTTTCATAATGTTTTATCCAGAAGAATCTTACTCCCACTCTGCTGGAAACCTGCTTGCGCAGATTTTGTCTGTTCTGCTGCTGAAGAAAAAGTTCACACTCATAGGGACAATTGTCTAGAGCTGTCAATCACTGTCTTTGCACCACCTGATTATTTATGTTGCGGATACAGTTAATTCCATTCACAGAAACCTGGAAAATTCTGGCTCCCACCAGCAAAGTCTTGAACTTCTGAAGTGTCCCAGATCAAAGTTTTAATGGTTGCTACACATCTACTGTGGAACTTCAATACAATCATGCCTGTGTCACAGTATCACCATATGACTGCGGTAAACCTTACTCACATTTACCATCCAAGAAAAAAATCCTTTTGTACCTGAGCATCCACTTGAGTCTGAAGCCATATTAAGTTCTTAATATTCACACACAACCTTTGCAGATACCAGTTCATGTTAAGCTTCAGTTTATTGAATACAGTATTTTTCATGAAACTTTTAAAAATACTAAACACGACTGGTGTAAGATGGAGATTTTTAAAAAAGACCAAGTGAGTTAAGAAAAAATCTCACTGAGACAGGAAGTTATGTCCTTTGCTCCCCTAGACCCCTTTGAAATTTCCAGCCCAAATGTGCAAGTGCAGGATACATTTTTTAAGTACAAAAAAGAATCTGTCACCCTTCTTCAGTGAAGAGTTAACTGGGGTGGTATTGATTCCACTTTCACTTGGGCATTTATTTTACTGATTTTCCTCAGAAATGGAAGATCACTGAAGCAATCCCTAACTTTTTTTATTATTATGTCTGTCCCTTCCACTAAATGGATAATAAAATCCCCTGCTTAAAACTGGATACAAACTCAAAATTTTGAGCAGCAGTACTTAAAGGTTTTGGAGGTTTTTTTGGAACTCCAGCCCCAGGTGAGCTCCAGTGATATATTTATGAAATTGTTCCTGTGCAGGGAGCAACAAGAAAGCCTCCAAGCTGTACAACATGGTAAAAAAACATGCTGTAATAACAGATCTGCTGGATTTTGCAAGCCATAGAGAATATACACGCATGAGAGAGAAGGGAACATATTTAGGGGGACTGAGAATTGACTGCAGATTTTAAACCAGCAGGAAAGCATTTGCAGAGGGCAAGATTTATTTCTTCTCCCAAACAAATAAATCACGAGGCATAACTCTTGACAGACCTCCACTATTGCTACCAGCACTTTCTCAGTCAATAACCACGCTGCCATTACATCCTTAGAAGAAGCAAGCAGGTCCCAGACACTGCGACCCAACTACTGTGACTTTCCAGATGCTCATCGCAGGGACCACCTGTATGGCAGCTCACTGCTCACATGAGCACAATCGCTATCATCAGTGCCATCCACACCAGCACTTGCACTCACACTGTTACACCTGCACCTCAAGCAGCTGCATTATCATAGAATAGAATCATAGAATCATAGAATCGTTTAGG